TCTGAGAACATTTTCCTGACCATTCTGCGGAGCTCAGATTGGATTGCTCATTTAAATAAAATAAATATGATTATTGCCGTAGCAGTAAGCATGTTCTTCAGCCACATTTATTTTTAGCACAGAAAGAAAAGCTTATAGATAATCTTTTCCGCCAAGTATTCAAATGTACTTTGGATTGACTTTGATACCGTTTGGATCAAAGATATCAACGCATGTACTAGAAATTGCCAACTAAAGCTTGATTCGTAAAATTTGTGACAGTTAACGGTTAGCAGTTGACGGTTTCGAAAATGTTCCCTGCAGAAGTGGCTACAGTTCTGGAGTTCTATATCTTTATGACGCCCCTGATACAGCATTAAGGGGTGATGTAATGTGAATGATGAAAAAACGGACAGATTTTCATCGTTGTGACGGAAGGTTAGCTCCCGAACTTAATGTTGGCCTTAGAAGTGGTCAGGTATTATCTAAGCTGTTAAAAATGTTTCTGCAAACCGTTTTCCCTTACGATGAGTTCCACCGAGCGCCGTGTTCTCACTTGCCGCCCATGCGGCGTGATGTTAGTCAACGGTTTGGAAGTTGCTCTTCAAGCGGGGAGGTTAACATCACTTTCACACCCAACTTATGGCCTCTTCTCAGTGTGATATTACTCAGCGTACGGATATTAGCGGTGGCAGGGCCCGGTGTACGTACATGGCCCAAGGAAAAGCTTAATCACGTCCCATCGCAACCTCCTTGCTCTACTAGTCTTCCGAGAGCAGAGTCTCTCTTTTCTGCCGCGCCTTAGCCTCAGCGCCATCTGAATGCTCGAGAGATGCTCTCTGCGACGGCGGGCATTGCAGTTTTAGATTTGTTCCCGTTTTCGTCCCACCTCGCCACTTCATGTGAACTTGAAAACTCACTTAACGGCCCAGAAAGGAGAGGCGTGGCGTGAGCGTCGCGTGAACCAGGCCAAACAAACACCTGGCCGATGTCGGCGTCACCGTTCGTGACGCTAGCGGCGAGCGAGTCTCGGATCAGGCGCTGACGAACTGGCGTCGCTGCTGCCGCCATCTGCAGTCGCAAACGAAACAGCGTCATTCGCGGCAGCGGACGCGGCAGCCAAACCGCGGCACCGGCAGGCGAGGCGGCGTCAGCGGTCCTCCCGTCACAGACCGGCCGCAGCGGTCCTCCCGTCACAGACCGGCCGCAGCGGTCCTCCCGTCACAGACCGGCCGCAGCGGTCCTCTCGTTACAGACCGGCCGCAGCGGTCCTCCCGTCACAGACCGGCCGCAGTGGTCCTCTCGTTACAGACCGGCCGCAGCGGTCCTCTCGTTACAGACCGGCCGCAGCGGTCCTCTCGTTACAGACCGGCCGCAGCGGTCCTCTCGTTACAGACCGGCCGCAGCGGTCCTCTCGTTACAGACCGGCCGCAGCGGTCCTCCCGTCACAGACCGGCCGCAGCTGACCCGGCTAGGGAAACATTTCCGGACGGCGGCGGCCTCCGGGCGCTGTGTCGCGGCGGTGCTGACGGGCACGGCGCCGCCACCCGGCACTACCACGCGGCCGGGTGGCAATGAAGATTGGCCTGAAAGCCAAACCGTGTTCGCGGAGGGCACGCTTCTTTGCTCGTGGCGGACAGCCGGCTCCGCGGGGCCGGACACGTCCGTGGCGACCACGGCCCCTGTCCGTCTACTCGGACTAATTGGCACGACGATAGAGGACGAGGGGCAGAGACGCAGAGAGATGGAGCAACGGGTGGAGAGGGAAAAGGTAGAAAACAGAGGAAAAGGGACACGGCGACAGATGGAAAGAGACGTGTGGAGGCAGCAAAACGAGGGAGTCCCGACCGCCATGTTAATTATTGGAGGAGAGACAGACCGTCGCACGGTCCGGTTTGGCGTCATTATCTGTGGGAGCAGACGCGTCACGGCGGCCAGCCTGCCCGCGATAATCACCTCGCTGTCGCCAGGCTGATGGTGTGCGGCCGACCGAAAAAGGGAGGAAAGGCTATCGTGTTAGTGTTTCCTTCGTTTCTCAAGATTGGCGACAGGTCTGTTGGCGGTGTCTAGCCTCTTGATTTTTTTTTTTGCAACGGCCTAGCTCTCTCGTAAATATTGCCTACACATGCGTCATGTCTTGTGCGTCTATGTTATTCAACAACAGGTTCGGCAACTCACACTGAGGTCTAACAGAACGCTTTCTCTAAGTTGCGCATGATCTGTACCTATCAGGATGCATGTTCCGTTTTTACGCTATTCCATCCCGTCTCTGATAATATATGGTATGGAAAAGCCTTGTGATAGTGGAGCAATGCAGCAGACACGCGTCTTTAATTATGGCACCTATGTAAACAAAAGTACAAGACGGCTTAGCTCTGCTCGTTTTCATGACACCTGCAGTGATACCACAAATGCTTAAATAAGATTAATGCACGGATCTTTTATCTTTGTTGAGGACCAACATACGTTATGACGTGCGATGCCGTAGACTGAATGCAATTTAGGTGCGCTCTGAGCTTACTTTATGACCCATGTGTTAGTGGTCCGCCGGAAAACGACCAGCGTCACTCGTCACTCAATGTCTTCTAAACCCATATGAAATACCAAACGTCGCGGCCCAGACTAAGAGAGAGAAGGACTTATCAAAACAAAACATGAGAATGTTCTCACCATATGGCTAGTTCTGCATGTTCATGCAGAGATAGTCTTTTTCCAGTAAGCAAACGAGTCACCTTGCGCCTTTAGCCCTGCTGCGCTATATTTGCCTATGGTTGGGTTCGGTAAATGCAGCATTGTACATCAAATAAACGTGGCTCATTTTTCCAAAGCAAAAAAAAAACATCGGAAATATTTAAGACGGTAGGTAAGAAAAATCCGCAACGTATGACAAAGGCGCGATATTCGGCAAACATACTAGTGTAGCTATAACGACATAAAGAAGGCCAGAGATGTCCAAGTTTTAGCACTGTCGTTTGAAGTTGGCTTTGCTTCCAAAATCACCGCGTTGAATGGGGGTTCCGTTCCGGTTCCGGTTCTAGGGTTCCGTTTACATGGTGGTGCGTGACCGCGGCGGGATGCACCCGAGCTACTGCGTACGGTGTAAGAGCGCGCAATGTTGTCACACTCGGCGGCTGCATGCGTCGTAAAACCGTCACAAGACCATCCGGTAGTTGTGTCGTAGTGCGTGCTTGATTTCTACACTACTCACCTTCGGTATTTTTGGTTGCGACGTCTTTCTGACCACATGGCCGGTTTAAGTTGACTAAACATTTGTTATATGCCGAACCCTAAACGATAGCATCACTGGCTCATGCCTCATGTATTTCTCATGATTTTGCAAAATGGATACAAATCGGTCCCTACTCTAGATGATGCACAACACGGTATGATGTGGCAAGCCAACGTGCTGGTATAAAAAGATCCCGAACATTCAACATACGGCTCTGCAAGTCGGCAAAGGCCCACATATAGTAAAGCAATAACTGTTGCTTCTTCCATGCACACATTTTCCCCTACACCGCGTGTCAGCCACCGCATTAACCTGCAACTCCCCTATTCAAATATTAGATCATACGAAACATCAGTAGATCGTCCTGGGTGTTTAACAGTCTCAAACGATGCTGAATAATTCCAAAACATCATCTGCTGTGCTCATTTTCAGTGCTGAACATCATTGGAACCGTGCAAAATAATTACTTCTGTCGACTTTCATTGATGTCTTTCAGCTCAGAAATGAAGCGTGGTGGCAGTTTAATCAGTCGGAGTGTTCTTTCCACATGCTTTTTTGCTCATCATGAAGCAGGAGTTTTGGCCGATCGCATACATCTGTCCATTCCATTTGTTACCTATTGACGCAAAGCAGGGCGCCATCCGAGCAGCACCCAAAGTGGTAGAGCACAACCGATTTCGGGCTATCCCATGGTCTCAGTAGGACTGCTGAGACATAGCGCAGTACAACATACAATAAATCATTGAGAGTGACATGGTAGACATCGTGGTCTACCAACGGTGTCGGTAACACGGGCCGAGCGTGAACCTACTTTAAACTAACGCAACGCAAAGCTCTCGTCTTCTCTTTGGTTGTCCAGCTATTAGAGCAATGAGCATCTCAGCCTTACAAAACATTCGGGTGCAAACGTCCATATCACGAGATCCGAGAAGTACGACCACGACCATACGTCAACCCATCCCTCGTCACTGTATGGGGCAGGCACGACTGCCCCAAGGCTGGCTGCCACAGTGGCAGCACCCCTAAACCGTGACACCCCGGCACACTGCCGCAGTGCTCGAGAGAGGTCACATGGCTTCGCCGTGGTGTGGGCCCTTTGAGACGCACCAGCCCGCCAGAGTCTGGCAAGCCACAGGCCGCCTGCCGGCCAGGGGCGGAGGCTCGGCTGGAAGTCTCGGAGTTCAGGGGAAGTACCAGTCGGCGAGAGCACCTGTATCAGACGTCTTCACAGGGAACGATTTGGCCGTCAGAACGAGTGGCATGCTTAAATAGTCCTATGCCATTTTGATGGCAGCCATAAGGCCCAGCTCAGACGTCCCGCCAACGGTATGTAGGCAGGTGATTGCAGCTGTTTCTTCAGCCGGGTAGCTGCTAGACCGGGTGACAACGGAAATCAGTCCAATGCAGCCTGTCCAAAAAGCTCATGGATCAGCCTTGTTTAAAATGATTTAGACCTCGCGTAGTTCCCAGTCCAGCCGTTCCAGAAGCCGGTTCACAAGCTCCAGCAGTAGGTTCAGACGCCGGAGAAGACAGTCCAGACGCAAGAGCCACCGATTCACATGTCCGAATAGACGGCTCGTGAGCCTCCCATACCCAGCTCAGACGCACTAGTACATCCAGTTCAGAACTCCTGTTGGCTCAGCAAGACGAACTAGTGACCGGCTCAAAATCATGGTTTACCGGTTCAAAACCCCTGTTGGCCGGTTCAGACTCCCTGGTGGCCGGTTCAGAGCCCCTGGTGGCCGGTTCGAACACCCCAGCCTCCACTCCAGCAGCGGCGGCGGTGGTCGGCTCACACGTCCGAGTAGTCTGTGGGCACCGTCTGGCCGAAGCGGCGTAGCTCGGCCTTGATGGCGCGTATGAGTGGCACGGCCGGGTCGTCGGCTGCCAGCCCGGCCTCCGGCGCCAGCGGCGAGAGCACGCGCCGTGGCATCGGCGTCGACTCGACGCCCGTGCGGCCCGGCAGCAGCTGCAGCGACGGCGGTCCGCCGGCGTCGGCGTCGCCGGCGGTTGCGGCGGCGGCTGCGGCGGCGGCTGCGGCGGCGGCTGCGGTCGGACGGCGCGTCAGGTCGTCAGTGGTGGTCCAGGCCGACTTGTGGCCCGGAGAGAGGCGCACCTGGGTGGGCACCGAGCGGCGCTCGAGCGCGCTGGCCGGCCGCGGTGGCGGGTCACGCCCGCTCACCTCTGCGTCGATGTCAGATCTGGAACGGCGGCGCGCGGCGGTTATTGGTGGGCGGGGCGGCGCAGGCCGGCCGCGGAGGAACGGGCGGCTCCGACATGCTGGCCACCAGGCCTACCGTCATGCGTGGTACGGTTGACAGGCGATGAGCTCGAAGCTTCTGACGTTATTGACGATTAAGTGGATTGCTGGTCACATTTCTTCAGCCCTCTGCTAAAGCAAGGGCAGTTGTTTACTCAATAACTCAATTTGGGATATGTCTCGGGATAGATAATTAGCTTAGGACAGCTTGGGGCTTCCACTCAAACTAGTTAATTATTCGCATGCCGTTCGTAGTAATATTTACTGTTACGGTTTACTAACAAACGTGGGGCAGCTAAACTAACTATTCCAGCATGTGATTTAGATAAAAAGAGGCTTGCTTAACTCTTATCGTTACGTTAGGTTCAAAGGACCAGCATCCAGCCATGCATGGAGTTTGATTTTTTACCTTGCTGTATTGCGGGTAACCACAAAGCCGCGTTGACGTCTTTTGATGACTTTATGTGCAATGCCAGTCATATAGTTTCAAAAGGCACTGGTCCTTCGGCAGCACTTACCTAATTTAAAATCCTTTTGTGTGGAGAACGTGGGATTCTCTCTCACCAGTTTATGGGCGACAAATCAGAATATTTTTGCAAATATAAATGGCAGGGCACTGAGCAAACACGAGCGGTACGACAGCAAGCACAGAAGCGTGGCCATAGTATAAAATGCATGTGGCATCCATGATCGTATAAAGCAGTAACAATGTTGCGGCAGCAACAATGGAAAAGCACGAAACACTATTTCTACAAAAGTATTCGAATGCAGGAGAGCGCGTGCGTTAGACCGGTGCCGCGGTTTGCGCGGTTCGTGTGCAAGCATAGCAGAGCGCCTTGATTTCAGTCCGCCGGACAGTCGTGAGCGTCTGCTCTGACTGGTGTCAGGTCATTCATTGGCTGTCCTGACGCCACCATACGTCATGTTGGTCAGCCCGTCCGCTCCTAAGTCAACGGCGCATCACTTTTCGTGGACGCTTGCGCATTCAGCGTCGACACTGCAGCGTTAGCCGATATTGCAGGACGCCAGCATAGATCTAATGACCAACATTCGCCTGACCAAGTGGTCGCGTTATCGCTTCGAATGTCCTTCAGATCTTGAGAGACTCGGCAAGATTGGATGACATATCAGATCTGGAGGGCTCTCGTTTCGTTCTTAAGATTTGGAACGCTGGTTGCATCTTTCTGAAGCAGTTTCAAAGCCCGTACCGCATAGCTGCAGGCTCAGGATCGTCAGGGTTGTCGTCTAAATGAATGTTTTTAGATGAGTTGGTTCGTCATAACGATGTAGCTATCAGCGGCACATAGAAAGCAGCTATGACCATTCTGCCATCTAACAAAATCAATGTCTAAGCACCTTGGCGGACGCCCGTACTGCGGGAGGGCCCGCGGGGCGAGAGGAAAGCATAGCTGGGACGTGATAGCTGCATCAAGTGGTTTGCGCACATTGGACAGCAGCACAAATACGCAACATGTTTAGTGACTGTGAAAAGCTTTGCACGAGCTCTGCTTACATAAATACGAAACTCAGTGATAGCAGAAATGCATATTTACAGCACGGCTCTGATGATGTTGGAATATTCTTAAATAACGAAGCCGCTCAATTAGCTAAGCAAATTCCACATCTACTTCAGCCGCGGTCATTTGTTAAACGGGATCGTTCGCAAACACACCACCATCCTCGGCGCGAAGGCATTGATTTTGCCAAACGTTGTGGCGTTAGCGTACTGCATTCACCGACAACAACTATTGAGAGTTCGATCTGGAGATGAAGTTGGCAGTACCTGTGGAATCCTCCTCTATAACAATGGGTACAATCCTGCAAAAACGGGCATTCCTTAAGCAGAAACACGTGGAATAGCGGACGAAAGCAAGAAATTCTGCTTCAGGAAAGAAACATTTCGGGATCTTTCAATGGAATTTGCCAAAAATGGCTACACACAATGCTGAGATAGAGAGTGACAGAATGAACATATCGTGCCATGATGTCCTGCGGCAAAGGAGGGGGAATTCTTTTGCGCATTTCGTCTTTAAAGCAGATGTGTGCATATTACTCGGGCGGTACAAATGAAATAAGGCCTGATTTCAATACACCAGAAAATCATCCCAACTGGAGCTCTGAAATTGTGTGGCATTTTCTGACTGTTCATTCATCTAGCCCAAAAACCTTTTAGCGCCCGGCATTGCCGATAGGCGGCTCCTGATCTGATTTTAGGAGCCATGTCGGGACAAATGGTGGGTCATGTCAGAGGCATGCATTGGGCAGATTACGTCTTATACCTAAGACCAATGTATAAATAAAATATCATGTTATCAGATATGTCAGGTCCAGAGGGAGATAGTAGTGAGGAAAGGCTCAAATGGCAATCTAGTCAATTTCCATTCGTTATTTATCGATGGCAAAGTGCTACGGTCTCGACACCCAGACTCCAGATGCCGTTGGTTATGTCATGCATTGAGTTGAGATGGACCCCTGCACACTGAGTGTGTAGGTCCCCTAGGGTGGTGGTCACCTGCACACTGAGCGTGTAGGTCCCCTGGAGTGGTGGTCACCTGCACACTGAGCACACGGATGTACCCTGCACAGTGGCGCAGCCAGGAGGGGACGCTGATGGGGCTTAAGATCCCCGAACCGGGCTCTAACGCAGCTTTCCACCACGACACTGCTGAGTATAATCTCGGAACTTGGCGATCAGGTAAGCTCTGTTGGCATTCATTTACTTCATACACCACAATGGGTGACATGTGGAGCCCAATGGCCGTAATTGAGCACCGTGACTAACAAATAGCCGAGTGGATATGTACGGTACCCAGCCCAAAAAATTGCTTAAGGCACCAGAGAAAACTAACATCGACAGTTAATTGATACGCTAGGTATTGCGCGCATTTGCGATTGTCGGGTCTGTTAGCCTGTTCACAGCGCGTAGGTACTGGCAGTGGGGCTGGGACTCGATCGTAACATATCAGCGTTTGCCTCAAAACACGGCAGCCCTTCCCCCTGCCACAAATATGGATCCACCTCTGTCCTCCACTGAGATGGTTCTCTGACTTGAGGGTGGGAAACGGATGTGAAGGTACCCGGCGACCCCGTTGCCAACCGCCTGCCAAGTAGCACCTAGGCTGTGCCGCCTAGCTCCTGTGTCATGCGGTACAGCATTTTAACACCCGAAGCCTGAAGACCAAGGACTGCGCAGACACTGGCTGGAGCAACTACTGCGGCAGGCAGCAGGGACATTTAAAGACCTTTTCAAGGGTTGCAGGCCAGCAGTGACTTCTTTTAGTAATCTTTAAATGTCATAAGTTTCAGTGATCAACTTGCTACCTTTAAGTCGGTATTTCTTGCGCTACGCTTCATAGTCGAGTGTCTGACTATTATCCGTTCCTCCAGTGGTGTGTACGCTCCCTGCCAAAGACTGCATTTAAATATTCGCCCCCAAAAACGGGTCGCGAATGCTGCCGTTTGCTTCACCTGCATAAAGTATCCCTGGGCAGCGGTTGCAAGAAATCTTACGTGCTAACGAGTGATCTCTTGATATCTGCATAAAATTGGACCTTGGTTGGTTGAAGTTTCTCGCTGAATTGAGAGAAATACACAAGATGAATATGATTTTGAAACTGGAATCTTCACGATCTTACGTACTAGTTACATACTAGAGAGTTAATGTACTAGTGACGTTTTTACGTGTTTATTTTACTTTCGGCCCATTAATGCGTATATCAAGGTATGTGTATGTGCGCCACGTATCACACATGTATGTGTAGCAAATCCTTCTCCCAGCTGGGCACTGATGCTACCAGAGCTAATCGATCAGCCTTAAGATATTCTCATATGCTTCTTATAAAAAGAAGTTAAAATAACAGAAAAGTAGACCTAAGATACTAAGTTTAGAAAATAGAAACAAAGAAACTAATCATACGGATATAACGTAAGCACGAAAGAACCAAACAGGTGACCTTGAAGTGGAAATTCATAGTAAATAGTGTGCTGGAAATGTTATGAAACATCTCAATATACACCACAATAATAAATGCTACGAAATAGAAATATTGGAAACTGCTTAAGACAAAGTAGATTCCAACATATTAGAACCATTGTGCATCCGTAACCTTGGTCACAAGCTGAGCGGACAAACATCGACTTTGGACCTGATTTAAACAATGTTGCCCAAGCAGTGCACGTTTAAATTTAGTTTTTTTTTGTCGTGGCGATAAACATTGGAGCCCTTGGCAAGTCTCTTTCTATTCTCCTTTCGGCTGAGCCCCCGTTGTCTGGACAACCGTAAACACATAACCGTTTATTGGGTGTTAAAATGTGAGGGCCCGAAGGGCCGGAATGCCCGTGATGTGCGTGCAGTGTTTATACCAAAACCGCAACTGAACGTGGAACTCATAATGTCGAGACAAAAACAAGAGGTTCAACGCGTTCTAGATTATACTAAATTGGATCATGCGACAAGCCAAGCTTCTCGGGGCTTCGCCGCAGTAATTTTGTAATCTTCCTGTTGCAGGCGAAAAGACAGCAACTCGACATGCCTCGGCGCCTCGGAGCGAGGCTGTGCGATAGCGCAGAAAAACTCATCTGTATTCCGACATCGTGGTCCCTAAGCCCTCTAGAGCGTCACATGTGTCTTATGTTACCGGCAGATCTTGCGAAACGTGGCGTGAGCGTATTAAGCAGCCGCTGCTAAGTCATTTGTAACTTCGGGCGTGCCGAAACGGAGGACGTTAAGCCGGCTGCGTGCGGGTCATTTGTTTCTCTCACGGGAAGCTTGAACATCTTTAAGCGGTGGGGGGATCGGGGAATTCTGATGCGGGAGCAGAATCCGCCTCTAGATCCACCGTCCCGGCAAACGTTGCCTGAACAGCGTCCGGCCAGATCAGGAATAGATTCGTGGCTGCGTGACTACCAGACAGCGGAAAGAATCCTACGCCGACATGCTAGACCGAGGAAAAAAGTCAGGAGCCGACTGCGAATTTGCAGCGCTGAAAAGAGCTTCAGACCAATATTTTTCAGTGGAGAGAAAGTGGTTTGGGTAGAAGCGGACCCACGGGGGGGGGGGGGGGGTAAGGCAGGCGACGGGCGAACGCCCATCCTTTCGTGGATATGTTGAGCGAACATGACGGTTTCCTCATCTTGAAATTGCGCGAGGTTCTTCGAAATTAATGGCATGCTTTTGTAGAACACGATCAGCAGTAATGACTCGGTTGAGAGACATGAACATACTTACGTCATACTGTAATGATTGATAGGAGGCTCCATCTATAAAAAATCGGGTAACATAAAAAAATGGTCGGAAGGGATCGTACTGCTGGGGTAATCATGAATGATCAGACCCCATTATCTTTATCATACTTTGATAAGGGCCCGGATGGGCTGGAGGCCAGAGCTGTGAACGAGAGAGGCCCAAACCCAGTAGAGCAGAGGGCCTAGTCATACAGATTAGAGCAACAGTCCCAAGCCGCTCTGCATCGGGAGCCCCCTGCGGCGGCCAGGATGCGTCCTGTCGATTTCCAACGGGAGGCCCCTGCAGCGGCTAACACGAGTCCTGTCGATTTCCTGCGGGAGGCCCCTGCACCGGCCAACACGAGTCCTGTCGATTTCCAACGGAAGGCCCCTGCAGGGGCCCACACGAGTCCTGTCGATTTACAAACGACTTCTCCAGACTGCTTTCCTGTGGAGTACGGAAGTGCCCCAATAATGTAAAGGCCCTGTGTGATAGACAACCAAACTATGGCAGGAGGCGCACATGATGATCGTGGAAGGCTGTAACAGGTAAGGTAGACATCTTTAGGTAGATATTCATTTATATGATGAGCAGGACTATGTCGAGGGCGAGTATGTCCCTGATAGTATAAGGATTACTGGTGCAGACATGTTAGAAATTTTTATAGAACTAAATGAGCTCTGGCATTGCATTAAAATCGTAGAAAATTACACGTCTTTGATCATGATTTAATATTTTTGCAAACACCTCAGTTCATTTATGCTTTAGAGAGGAGACTGACGATTGTTGAATCAGAAAACATGATAAACTTTGGTATCGCCTGCATTCTTAAGATAGACATGCAGAAGAGGTGTGCCCTTTGCTGCATATCTTTTCTGCAAAGACGCGCAGGAAAGATACGCTGGCTATTTGCAGAATGAATTTGTTCTCTGAACTGCTGCGGGAAGGTGCAATTCCCTGACCTATTTCAGTTAAGCGCTCTGTTTACTGAATTACCACGGGAAGGTGCAGTTCTCTAGCCTGTCGCCAGTTCAGTTCTCTAGCCTGTCGCCAGTTCAGTTCTCTAGCCTGTCGCCACAGGAGGAGAATGAAGTTCTCTAACTTGCCACGGGGTGCACTTCTCAGACCTTCTGCGTGAGAGAGCGATTCCCTGATCTGTTGTGGGTACTCTCTGACCTGTTACGTAAAAGCTTGGTTTTCTTATCTGCGACCGCAGGAGGACGCTGCATTACTCTGACATGTCTGCAGTATTCCTGTCTTGGTGGAGGAAGATGCAGTTTTCTGCCTGTCACGATAGGGTACAGTTTTCTGACCTGCTGCGGGAGCACAGTTTTCTGACCCGTCACGAGAGAACGCAGTTTTCTAAACCGTTGCGGGGGCTCAGTTTTCTGACCCACCAAGGAAGGACGCAGTTTTCTGACCTGTTGCGGGGGCACAGTTTTCTGACCCATTACGGGAGGACGCAGTTTTCTGACCTGTTGCGGGGCTCAGTTTTCTGACCCATCAAGAGAGGACGCAGTTTTCTGACCTGTTGCGGGAGGGCGCTGCTGAGCGGCAGCGCCACCTGCTGTTGCTGGTCTCGCCGTCCAGCGAGTTGAAGGCCGTGTCCAGCAGCGTGTGGAAGCGGCGTCGCATGCGGCCCAGGTCGGTGGTCGGCTCCGTGCGCGGCTCCTCCCAGCCGGAGCCGTCGCTCTCCGACCCAGAGCCGCTCAGAATCTCCACGGTCTCGGTCTCGAGACGCACCTGTAGGTCATCGGCGCGGCGCGGCCGGCGGTAGCCCCGCGGCGGCACCGCCGGCGCCGGGCTGTCCGGCCGAAGCCCCTCCAGCGGCAGCGGCAGCGCGCGCGCCGGCACGCGCGACGTGAACAGTCGCGTTGCTGCCTCGCCGCCCAGCGGGTACGTCGACCGGTAAGGGGTCACCTCGTGGGGCGCGGCTGCGGCGCCCGGCCGGCCGGCGGAGGCGGGCCGCCGCCCGCTCCGGGTGTGCCGCGCGGCCGGCTCCGGCACGGCGGCCACCGCCGATGAGGGCCGGCTGGCCGGCGGCGGCGGCGGTGGCGGCGGCGGCGGCGGTGGTGGTGGTGGCGCCGGCTCGTTGACGGGTGTCAGCGAGCGGTCGCTGCCGTGGCGCGCCACCACGGACCCGGCCAGTCCCAGCGAGGCGTACATCGAGTCGTCCGGCTCGCTGTCGCTTCCCTCGATGACGTACTTGTCTTTGCCGCGGCGACCCGCCTTGACCCGGATCAGGCGGTCGGTGGAGGGCGTGTTGCCCTCTTCTGGCGAGGTTTGGCAGCTGGCCGCGGCTACGCCCACCGGCGGCGCCGTGCCGCTCCCTCCCGGCTGGGGAGGAGGGGCGTCTGTCAGAGGGAACATCAACCGGGGAGTCCCTACGCTCACGAACATGTTTGCCGTAACACAAAAGCATGGGGTAAGAACGTGACCTTAAAGGCGTTTTCAACCACAGTGAGTAGAGTGAAAAGCGTCGAAGCTTGTGGCTTCATGCAATTCCAAGACTAAGCTTCACCCCAATGAGCGCTGGTGGTATCTAGGCGCTTTGCAATTACGTTCACTGTGGTGCCATCTCTAAAATCAGCTCCTTTCGTCTCCACATTGGTAACTGAGAAGTTCGATGAATGGCTTCATCGCCATATTCACATAATCTGTCAAGTATCGTGCGAAAAGCTGTGCGACTACAGAGACGATTCAATTCTGCAAACTTGTACATGACTATATCACTCATATCAGTGCATTTAGCTCCACGTAATTTATTATCACCGTCTGCGTGCTGCGGTCATGAGACCACAGATGTGGGCTCCACAATAATAGCGTTTCCTTGCTGTTCCAAGCCCACCAGAGTTACCTTGCCTTCGTCGTTCCCGTCCACAAAGCCCCTGTTGTCGCGTCCCTCCTCCTCAAACACAGCGCGGCGGTTGCTGATGCCCGCGTCCGTTTCGTCTTTGGCGCGTCGTTTATACCGCTTCCAGCAGAAGCAGCACAGCCAGATGAGGAAGACCAGGAGGAAGACGATGGCAAGCACCACGGCGATGATCCAGTACGGCCGGGCCTCGCTCCGCACCGGCTGGAGGTACTCTGCGGGGATGAGGGGAGAGGTGAGGAATATCCCAAAGCGAATTACAGGGCACACAAAAACACAGACTGAGAGGATTGCTGTTCAGCACTTGGAAAGGACTAAAAAAAGTCCAGCAATAGTGGAAAAATATGCCTGAGACTACAGGATAAATCCCAGATACTTTCATTAAAATACTTATTTAACTAAAAACAAAAACATCCATGGGAGACACCTAGCACTAATTTTCAGAATGAAGCACCTTACACGTACGTTTACATGATACATCGGGTCTGGCCTGTGTCCATGCAAGCACACCACCGCGCCTGCCAGGCGGCGCAACACCTCACCTTCCCTGGACACCACCGCCTGCCTCATTCGGACCACCTCACCTTCTGTGAGCACGACTCGTGCCCCATGCGGTCCACCTCACCTTCTGTGAACACGACCACGTGCCCCATGCGGACCACCTCACCTTCTGTGAGCTCGACTCGCGCCCCATGCGGACCGCCTCACCTTCTGTGAGCACGACTCGTGCCCCATGCGGACCACCTCACCTTCTGTGAGCACGACCACGTGCCCCATGCGGACGGACATTTCCTTGTCGTCGACCGCCCGGCTGACCAGCTTCACGGCGTCAGTGGCGAGCAGGGGCTGGCCGTCCCTCCAGGCCGTGTAGAGCAGCCGGGTGCGGTTGTCCTCGACGCTCACGTTGTGCACGTACACCTGAACGGGCGGCGAGCTGTCCCGCGAGCGTCGACGGCGCCGCGGGCGGCCTCTTGAGGCCCCTGACGCGGGACGGCGCGGTGCTCGGAAGCCCGGCGCTGTGTCTGAAGGAGACTGATGCATCCCTTTGAGTCGCAGTCCCCCTGGAGCTGACTGCTGCTGCGGATCGCTGGTTGGTCTCGGCGGAGGTGATGTTTTGCGTCGACGTCTCCGAGGCTCCGCGCCCCGCCGTCGGCGGTGATGGAACAGCCTCCCCAGAGGCGACGGCGTCAAGGGCACTTCTCCCAGCCCCGCCTTCAGAAGTGTCCCTCGACGCCGTCCTCCCAGCTTCATCGACCGCCGGGCCGGGTCTGTCCGCTGAGTCTCCCCGGCGACCGAGCGGCGTCCGCGCCGGGCCTGGTACTGCTCGTACGCGTCGCTGAACGCCTGGCTGAGCCGGCGCTCTACGTCACGCACGAACTCGTCGTCCACCCGGTCGGGCACGTACTTGAGCACCGTCACGACCCAGTATTCGGGCTCTGGTACCGAGCGCTTGATCGTGTCGTTCGTGCCGACCTGCGCGCCTGGCAGACCGGCGGCGACGGCCGGGGTGGCGACAGTGGCGCCGCCATCCACGGTGGTGGCGCTGTCCCGCTGACAGGGCGGGCAGGTAGCGCTGGTGTCGGCAGGAGACGTGGAGGAGGACGGTGTGGAGTCGGGAGTGATTTCGGAGCTGAAGGAGGTTGTGGTGTCAGTCGCGGACTGTGAGGCATCCATCGCGGTAGAGGGTTCGCCGGAGGGCTGTGCTGTGGTGGTAAGGTCCACATGCTCTGTCCGAGTGGTCACGGTGGGCTCGTCATCATCTGAAGGGTGCGAAGTCGTCGTTGGCGTAATCATATCGGCAGGCTCGGGCGGCAGCGTTGTCGCGCGATCGTCCGGGTCTACTATGCTTGGAGATGGTACTGATGGCACAGACGACAGCTGAGATGAAGGCGTCGAGAAGGACAGCGACACAGATGGAGACGGCGTTGGCGAGCTGACCAGGGACGGATCAGACATTCTCACCAGCTGAATATCTAGTGTTGTGCGCTCCAGGCCTGGTCTTGCTGTCCTCGCTCTGCTCACCCCTGGAGCCATATCCTCCGGCTGAATGGTGATGAGGTCGAACAGATCCGTCAGAACGTGCTCCGAGGATTCGTCGGTCGACGGTGGCGCCGCCTTCGTCACGCCCTCTCCGCCGTCCGGTCTGAGCGACCTTGCCCCGCCATCCTGCCCCGATAGAGTGGACGCCGGCGTGGCACCACCGCCCTCATCGCCGCTGTCAATTGGTGTAGCGGCCCCGCTGGTCGGCACCTCCGAAGTCAGCCCGCCGGCCGGAGACCCGGACTGGGTGGCTGTCTCCTCTCCCGTCTGACCGGTCTCCGCCGCCCCGCCGCTGACCGAAGACCCGGACTGGGTGGCCGTCTCCTCTCCCGTCTGACCGGTCTCCGCCGCCCCGCCGCTGACCGAAGACCCGGACTGGGTGGCCGTCTCCTCTCCTGTCTGGCCGGTCTGCGCTGCCCCGCCGCTCACCGAAGATCCGGACTGGGTGGCCGTCTCCTTGCCCGCCTGACCGGTCTCTGCCGCCCCGCCGCTGACCGGAGCTCCGGACTGGGTGGCCGTCTCTTTGCCCGTCTGACCGGTCTCTGCCGCCCTGCCGCCGCCCGGCACGTCCGGCGCGCCACCGGCATCCACGGCGCCCTCCGTTGTCACGTCATCAGCACCGCGACCGGACGAACCGGCACCAAGTGACGCGTAAAATATAGACGAAACAGGCTCAGTATCGACCGTCGGCGGGGCCTGTGACGTCACCAGGCCAAACTCGGATGTCGTTACGGAGGTCGGCGCGTGGTCATCGCCGTCCGCTGTGGTCCCCTCCTGATGGCCAGGCGGTGCTCCGCCGTCGCGGTCAGCGGACGTGGCCACAGCAGACGGGAGTTGCGTGCCTGCGGCCTCTGATGAAACGAGCCCACCCGGACTCACGGTCGATGCGACTGTGATTCCCGAATGATGCGCCGTCGCGGCCGGGCCAGAGGTCACATCCGGGAACGAGCTCACTTCTGGGGACGTCGCCACGGTTACGCCTGGAGACAAAGTTGGCGGCGAGGACCCGCCCGCCAAAGCCGTGAACAAGCCGGCTGCGTCCCCTTCCGTGACCTCAGTGCGCGAGTCGCCCTCGGGCGTCACAGACGCGCTGGCGATGTTATCTGTCGGCCGCTCGGTGACGTCACCGCCGTTTGTTGCCGACGTCACGTCCTCGCGGCGCGACGGACCGGAAGGGGTCGCCATCGGCCCCGAGAGGTCCGGCACTTGTGGGGATGACTGGCGCGGCGCGGCGGTTCCGGGCGGCGAGACAGCTTCCGTCGACCTCGCCGCCCCGGTCGGCTCCGCCTCTCCCCCGGCCCCGGTCAGCTGGCTGTCCGAATCAGCCGCAGGCACGGTCGGCGTCGGGCTGGTAACAGCATGGCCGGACGGCCCCGTGGGCGTCGTTCCATGACGCTCAGCGAGGTTGGTGCCGAGTCCTTCGATGTAGCTGCTGTCTGTACCAGTGTTCTCGTCGTAACCTCTCTCAGTGCCGGGTCCGAGCGTCTCACTGTTGCCTGTCTCGGTACTGGGTCCCAAACCCTCACTGTAGCCTTCCGCTGTACTGGGTCCCAGACTTTCACCGTAGTCTGCTTCAGTGCTGGGTCCGAAGGTCTCACTGTAGCTTGTCTCGATACTAGACCCGAAGCTCTCACTGTAACCTGCCTCGACACTGGACCCGACAGCCTCAGTGTAACCAGCCTCGGTGCTGGGTTCCAGGCCGCCACTGTAGCTTGCTTCGGCACTGGGTCCTTCACTGTAACCTGTATCGGTCCTTTTTCCGGTATCTTCACCGTATCCTTCTTCGGTAATTGGTCTGAGTCCCTCGCTGTCCCCTGGAACAATGCTAAATCCATCACCGTACCCCGCCGTAAAACCATGTATGGATCCTTCACTGGAACTTGCGGCAGTACTGAACACATCGTTGTAGTCTCCTTCAGTGGTAGCACCGAGCCCCTTTGCTCCATCCGTGCTGTTCTGGACTCCACCTATTGCGGCTGCAGCTGTGTCCGTGAGTCCGTTATCTCCCGAAGTGGACGTGCTGCCACGGCCGGTCGCCGATTCCTCTCCCGCCGTGCTCAGCCCGGAGAATCCCACTGTGCTGCTGGGCTCGGCCCTGGTCCCATCGGGAGTCGCAACCCCAGGCTCTGGGCTCTCTCCCCATATCCAGGAGATGTCGGTGGTGACGCCCTCTGACCAGTTCGCTTCAGTAGCACTCTCTGACGACCCGGTGTGAGTGTCACTCGCGTCTGTCCTTCCCGCGCTGGAGATGTGACTTTCACCTGCCCGTCCAGCTGCGGTGTTATTCTCCCCGGTCCAGGGCACAGGGTTTGTGGTGAGCCCTACCCCAACGGACGATCCTTCACTTCCCACTTCCGCCTTGCCATGCCCGGATGTGACGCCGTCAGTTGTGACGCCCAGCTCTGTACTGTTGTCATCTGTGGGGCTAAGTGCGGTTGGCCCGTCGCCTGCCGTGCCGCTGCTGTCCGCTGTGACGCCGTCGCCCGCTGTGACGTTGCTGTCTACTGTGACGCCGTCGCCTGCTGTGACGTTGCTGTCTACTGTGACGCCGTCGCCTGTTGTGACGTTGCTGTACGCCGTGACGCCGTCGCCTGCTGTGACGTTGCTGTCTACTGTGACGCCGTCGTCTGTTGTGACGCTGCTGTCTAATGTGCTATTGTCACCTGCTGTGACGCTGCTGTCTACTGTGACGCTGTCGCCCGCTGTGACGCTGCTGTCTTCTGTGACGCCATCGCCTGCTGTGACGCTGCTATCCACTGTGACGCTATCGTCTGCTGTGACGTTGCTGTCCGCTGTGCTGTTGTCGCCTGCTGTGACGTTGCTGTCTACTGTAACGCCGTCGCCTGCTGTGACGTTGCTGTCTACTGTAACGCCCCCGCCCGCTGTGACGTTGCTGTCCACTGTGGCGCCGTCGCCTGCTGTGACGCTGCCGTCTACTGTGACGCCCTCGCCCGCTGTGACATTGCTGTCCGCTGTGACGCCGTCACCTGTCGTGCCGCTGCTGTCCATTGTGCCGTCGTCGCCTGCTGTGGCGTTGCTGTCTACTGTGAAGCCGTGGCCTGTTGTGACGCTGTTGTCTGCTGTGACGCCGTCGCCTGCTGTGACGCTGCTATCCACTGTGACGCCGTCGCCTGCTGTGACGCTGCTGCCGCTGCGGGTCACACCGGCGGCTATGGTGCCATGCTCGGATGTTCCGTCGGTCCCGATGATCCTGTCGTCAGTTTTGACCGCCTCAGCCGACACGTCGTGCTCCGTCGGAGCGTCACCAATACCGTCGGTTGTGGTACTATCGCCTGTGGCTTTTTCCGTTGTCACGTCAGCTGCGGGGGGATGCTCCAGCGGAGTGGCACCTGTCACGCTGAGCTCCGTCACAGCACTCTCAGGAGTGCTGCCGTGTTCCGTCACACTGCTGCCATATGTGACGCCTTTCTCTGTCACATCACTGTCGTCCGTGACACCTTCCTCCGTCGCATCATTGTTACCCGTAATACCTTCCTCCGTCACGCCACTGGTGTACGTGAAACCGCCCTCTGTCATATCACTGTCATCTGTAATACCTTCCTCTGTCACGCCACTGGTGTACGTGAAACTGCCCTCCGTCACATCACTGTCATCCGTGATACCTTGCTCTGTCACACCGCTGTCACCGGTGACACCTTGCTCTGTCATACCACTGTCACCAGTAACACTGTGCTCCGTCATACCACCTTCAGGTGTGACGCTGAGGTATGTTACGTTGCTGCCAGCCGTAACACCCTGCTCTATTACGTCACTGTCAGATGAGACGTTGTTTTCCGTCAAGCCCTCGTCATCCATGACACCCTGTCGTGTCACACCACTGCCAGATGCAGCGCCATGCTCAGACAGACCCTCATCTGTGATACCGTCCGTTGGGTCGCTATGAGTCGTGACGGCTCGCTCGCTCGTGACACCGCGCCCTGTCACCTCGCCGTCAGCCGTGCCTGCGTGCTCCGCCAGACCATCATCCGTGGCGCTGTGCTCTGCCGAGACGGTGCCGCCGCCGGGCGTAGTACTCCCCATCGACAAAGCGGGCCGACCGCCGTGAGAATCGATGCCACTGGTCTCTGGTCCTCCTGGCACCGTCTGCTCGGACTGCGTGGCCACTGTTGCGCCCGGTGGCCGCTCGCCCCTCCCGCCCTGTCCGGCCGAGGTGGCCCCACTCGGCCGCGGCGGCGGCGTCCGGCCGAGCGTGGAGGAGCCTGCGGAGGAGTCGGTCGCTTCTGTCCCCGTCGGAGGGCTGTCGGTGGGGAGGACCGTGTCTGTGGTCTCACGCTCGTCCGGAGCGGGGCTCGTTGTTGCAGGGATCGGCACCTGGCTGTCTCCGGTTACTGACGAGCTGATCCTGTTTGTGTCTGAGTCGTGCTCCGTTGAAGAGGCAGCCTCATTCGTTGGATGGTTCTGCTCGGTGGAGGCACGGATAGGCGCATCTGTTCTTCCCTGACGACCGTCGTTTACACCCGTTGTCCCGCCACCAAGAGGATCTGCAGTTGCATCCCAGTTGCCTCTTCCAGCGCCTCCTGCTTCACCACACGGAACAGCGGTCATACTCGGCATAGGAAACACGGCAGTCGGCCCCGGCGTCCGGCTAACGAGGCCAGAAAAGGCTAATTGCGTGGTCGTGCCAAAGGTGATACACGAGTCTGGCGTCGAACCGACGGCAGCGGACGGACCGGGATACTCGAGTGAGCTGCGTACCAGCTCCCAGTCGACGCTCACCGCCTCCCCAGGGCGCTGCGAGCTGCCTGGACGGCTCGTGTACTGCACAGGCACCAGCACGGGGGTCGCCTCGGGCGCGACGCTGAGCGCCAGCGTGGTGCCGCCCCGGCGCGTCACGACCACTGTGCTCGGCACCACTCTGGTGCGCGTGACGGTGGTGGTGAGCAGCCACAGGACGCCGTCGCCGTCCCACTCGTCCAGAGCCTGGTCGCCGGACGGCATCCACAGGAAGAACTCCTCCATGGCGTGCCGCTGCGGCGGCGGCGGCGGTGGCGGCGTGTCGTCCGGCGCCGCCGCTGGGGGCTCCGGCTGCGACAGCGAGCCGTGCAGGACTGGCGGCGCTGGAGAGGCCGGCGGCGCGGCGGCAGCGCCTGGCGGCGACGACAGCGTAAGGCTGAGACGACAGCGTCGAACCGAAGTACAGGTGTATGAGGGTAGATGTCAGATTAAGATCATGGCACGCATTGATTAGAACGTTTGGAGAACAGTAGACTGGTTTCATACGCGGACAATGTAAAAACCCGAGAGCCAAAAATGTGTCCAAGACGACCAATCATCGCACAAGATATATGGTATATCACGGCTTACCACCAATCAACATGCCAGGCACAACACACCTGTCATTTTTCATTCAAACAGGAGTAGTGCCTGTACAGTCATTATATCCTGCACGTTATTGGTTCTTTTCTTGTCATATTATGACCAAAGCCTGCATGTGGAACAGTATATTTTTATTCGCTCGATCCTGCTCGATGAAATCACGCTAAAAACTAATTCGGGTCGGCCGAAAAGCAAACAGCTGATAAGCCTGCAGCGGTGATCCAGACGTCCGATATGGCCGATCGTTGACGCCGATACACGCGATCCCTCTTTTCTACGCCGGCGGCCACGATAGCATCACATGGGCGCGCTCATGCGTGCTCACGTGATCGCGCGCACCCACACACACAGACAACTGACGGTGTGGTGGAATGCCGCCGGCGACTGGAATTATTCAGGCAGAGTTCATGGGCCTGACGCGCCAGTGAACTGTGGTGAGCCGTGCACGCACGCGCGCTGGGAGCAGGGTCGCTGACCTCAGACACGTGACCACATCTACCAGCAGCAGTGGTCGTCTTTGGAAGATGTCCCTATGTGGGCTAATGGAGCCCTAGAAGATTCTATGGACTTCTATGGAGCTCTGAAATATGTCCTTTCCTTGGTCCTTGTCGGCAAGGCATTACTGAAGGCTGGTCTGCTGGGCTGGCCTGGATCTGCTAAGACCTGGGCTGCTGAGCTGGCTTGGGTCTACTGAGACCTGGGCTACTGAGCTAACCTGGATCTACTGAGGCCTGGTCTGCTGAGCTGGCTTGGATCTGCTAAGACCTGGGCTGCTGAGCTAACCTGGATCTACTGAGACCTGGGCTAATGAGCTGGTCTGGATCTACTGAGAGCTGGGCTACTGAGCTAACCTGGATCTACTGAGGCCTGGTCTGCTGAGCTGGCTTGGATCTACTGAGACCTGGGCTACTGAGCTGACCTGGATCTACTGAGACCTGGGCTGCCGAGCGACCTGGATCCGTGTGTTTATTCATTGATAGACAAACTGGACAGAGTCTGCACTATAGGGTTCGTGGTACAGCTCAAGACCTGACATTAAGACAGGACATAATATCGAAATAAGTGAAATCGGCCGGATCAAAGAAAATCGGGACCACCGTAGGAGATGGGTCTTTACGACCTTTAGCGTGGGACATATCGACAAGCACATGCACTTCTCACATTACGAGCTGCCGTTGATCAACATTATACCAGTCGTACCGCGCGTGACCAACGCAAAACTCGGGGTTCCAAGCTGTTCATAGAGTCTGAGCCGGCGACCCATGCGGTGCTCAAAAGAAGTTGCGGAGGCTCCTCTCAGCTGCGATAGTGGCGCGGTTTGAGCAATAGACGGCATCTCCCATACTTGTATGAAAAGACGACCGGGATGTGTCGAGATGATCGATGGATATCAAGGCCACCAATTAGCCATGAACATGAGTCATGAGTCAATGCACCAATAAACTACGGTGCGATCGATGCTATCGGTGGCAGCACGGACCCCTAGCACGGATAGCCTCTGAGCGGTGCATGTGGGCACGATATGCCCATGGAGGTAGGCAATCTTCTAAGGGGGATCATATGACGTTTTACGACCGGGTTCGTCGGAAAAACCTGGCACACATGACTAGAAATGGATATTGTGGGAAACGACCAAACCGTTTCATTGGCATTTTGCTCCCAAGAGACGGTAAGATAGCTCCAACTGGTGATTCAAGGGAAGTAACACTAACCCATATTAGCAGCCTGGACTCACTTCAACCTCAGGTATTTCGTCAAATGCGACAGTTTAGGCTGAACATATGACCCAAGAGGCCTGCCGCCATGTATGCCATCAATCAAAGAATCAGATATGTGCAAACGGCGATCAGAAACCATCAATATCCTGAAAATGGCATTTTGATCTCTACCATGTGACTCATAAATTGCTCGCAAAATTTTCAGAATTTTCCAAATCGTTCGACAACTTCCGGACCCTTAAGCGTCCGCGATAACAGTCGTATACCTTCCAAAGCGCCATTGTCACAATCGAAGGGTGGTCTCACCAAACAGACACCGTTATGTTAACAAAGTTTAGAAATAAAGGTGGGATGATCAGTTTAAACAATCTGTGTATTCCTCTGAACCACACGACATGTTATGGCCGATAATGATCCATTAAGTGGAAGCTGATGCGTAAAATACTGTTCTCCTGTTTTCAGACATGTTGATTGTGGGTTCACAGGCTTCCACACATATTTTCAATGATAGGAGCCACAGTCGTTTGGGCTCGATACTTACAGGTTGGCCCTCTTGAACTTTATTGTGGGGTCCATGTAACCTCGTACACGTTGGCTTCATTGGCGCAGGGTCAAACCAGTGAATGTATTACGTCGAAAGTAAATAGCAAAGAAGGGAACTTGGAGCGTCTGTCCTAAAAAAATACATAACCGTAACTTATGACGACCTTAGCTTAGCTTAGACCTTAGCTTATAACGTCATATATCTTACCCTGGCCTGGCGCCGAAACGTTTATCTTGCTCGAACATGCATAATTGACGACTGGACGCCTGCTGAATGTGTCGCCCATACGATCAAGAGCTTACGAGATTTGTTGGGCACGCTATCCGCAACCAATTACTGTAACGCAATGTTTGCTAACATACTACTACATGGAAGACGTCGAGTTCGTTCCACCAAATTACTTCTGCAATTTCTACGCTCAATGCCCTTATCTTTGATTATCAAGAGATTTTCCGGTCACACAAAGAAGAAAAAAAATCGGTGTCCCAGCATTCATACTATTGCACCAAAATCTTGTAGGTATCAAATTAATGTTTTTTCCCAAATCCAAAAGCAAGGCCACGGGAGTGTACGGGTGGCTTTTGCTTCTCATGGCGTGACCGCGTATAGAACATACATGGAAGCTGATCCGTTGTACATGTTTATGGTTAACGGCTTACTGTTAATATGTTTTGTAAAAACTCAAACTTATGAAACAAACATGCTTACCTCAAATCATAGCCAAACGCACACATAGATGGTAATGTAACGTAACGACAGCATTTTCAGGTACGGAGGGCACAGATTTGTACGAGGATACATTCTTATTCTCATTGAGAGGAGCACCTGCAGATTTCTGTACAATTCCTTTTGACGATTTTAATCGTGCTCTTGACAGGAAATACTTCATCATTTTGAACCCCCCAGCGCACCTATTTAAGAAGGCGAAAATCTTTCCTTCAGAGTAGCGTTGGTTGGTACCAAAGGCGCAGACCCTTCTGGGTCCGTATGCGACTTACCACAGCATGCCAGCCAGCCGACCAGGAAGATCTTTACGACGACCTGCATCGCTGCTGACGCGCATGGTCTCAGGTCACCTGACCGGGCCCTGGGGGCATGGCGGGGTCAGCCACGTGGGTCGGGTGTCACCAGAGCATCTGCGACCGCACGCGCGCCCACTGCCGGCCGCAAACTCGCCGGCTCGCTCAGAACGCCACCCCCTGCGGGCATCGGCCGCCATTGATCCGCCGTTGCTATGGAAATAACAGGTCACAAACTTCCAACACTTGACGAATGCAGGTGCCAAAAGCGAAGCGGGCAATGCGAGGGGGTAGCGCACTGGGACGTGATTGCAGTTCACAGTGATAACGCGTCGATGGCGAGATGATGGATCGTAACGATTATCGGTCGCAGGCAGGATCGGCCAGCGGCGTTGTGCTGCTGTCACCACGCGCACGAATAGGGCGGCCGTTGTGTTTCCCCACAGTGGCAAGTGAGGACACACGCGCTCGGGCGGGGGTCAAATTGACCCCCGAAAGGTTTTCCGGAATGGTTTCCGAATGGTGCAGCGTAGCCGCACCAAATTTGCGTGGCTGAACAATTAAAAGTGAGGTGAAAATAGCTGTAGCAGTTGTACATGTTTCCACATCCTGTAAATTTGGTATCTCTAGCTCTCTTCGGTCTGGGATCTCAGGGGGTCAAATGGCCTCCCACCCGAGCGAGAGGCATCCAACCGGCCACCCCAGGCGCGTGTTAATCTCCCCTTGATAACATAGCTTTCGTCTAATTTCCTAAAGTGAGCCTGACATGTTTGACAGTAATTATTTAACAAATTGCAACTGCGGGAGCCTGAGAATCAAGGAATTTCGGACGATCCATTCCATTCTCATCGGGTCACCAGAAGCCGCAGAACTTCCATCAGAGCGTAGCTCTGGCAGATGTGCGCATGCGCTCATCTGTTAAGCTCTGCGGAGCACGCGCCGTACGGCGGCGGCGGTGCGTTACCTGTTTGGATGATAGAAGCATTGTGTCGCGTTCAGCGCCGCATGGGTGCTGATCGGTCTTCTGCGCGTTGTGCTGCTCACTGCTTCACGTCCGTCCACCTCGCTCCGCTCCGCCACCGTTCATGCACCTATCTTCGTCCGCCACGGGGCGCGTGCGCCGTTGGTTTTGCCTGTGGTCGTTCTCACTGATGTCTGCGACTGTCTGCCGTGCTTGGGTCCTGTCCGGCTGGCCTCCGGCAATATCTGCCGACGTCTCCAGCAGTCACGAGACAGCGTTACCGCACCGCTCTCTGCCGGCGGCATCCGCACCACCCAGCCCTGGCCGCGACTTGTCGTGACCGGCGGTCACCTGTGATCTCAGCCAGTCCCAGCGCCGCGCACCGCCCGCCACCCACTGCGTGCTGCCGCGCGCGTCCCGTCCTGCCCCTCCCCTCCGGTCCGCCCGGGCCCGCGCTGGCTCACCGATGTGCACCGCACTGCACACCCCTAATCCAACGAGGGGCGGGTCGCGGCTGAGCCCAAGGCCGCGCCCCGGGCGGCCCTCCGCCGCGTCGGGCACAATGTGGCCCGCCAGAGGCGGAGCCAGCGCTCGAAATTGCCCAGGAGCGCCTGATGAGCACGGGCAACGCCAGGCTCGGTACTGCGGGTTTCGCTTAAAGGTATACACGGCTTGCTTGACATTGCTAGGGCTACTTTTGACTGGGGCGGGCGAAGAGGCAAACTTGAGCGAGAATGACGGGCGGGGTCATTGAAAATCTCCCGCGACATCCTGACGGATCCGCCACTGCGCGTCATCCCGCTGGACGGACCAGCCCCATCGCAATTAGAGTGTGCAGTGTTGGGTCGAAATGGAACCGTTAGAGTGTGTCCAGACAGGGAACGTATCTGGACAAAGAACGTGTGCTGCCACCGATTTCGCGTCAGTTGCGCAACCCCAGCCTTCAATTGCACGACGGCGAATGCTGACAGCGTGTTGCCGAAATCATGAAACGAGCAGCCTTGCTGTTCAGCGCAGTGCTATTGTCTTTTAATAGCTAGCTCATCATGGATCAACCAGTTAAGCCCCAAAGCACCTAACTGGAAAAATGTCATCGGCCCCCACCATTGAATGTCAGTCATTTGCTAGAGTGGAAGATGTGATTAGAAAGACAAGGCTAGTAGAAGGGGGCATCGCTTGAGCATAATTCCGTTTCAGCATATCATCACCACGTGATACCACGCTCGCTGACGCTGGCTAATATTTAAATTTGTAGCATGCTCGATGTGCGTGCTTACCAATTAACAGAACATCAAACATGCAGGTATGTGGCAAATTTAGTCAAACATACGTATGTGGTAAATGTAGTCAAACAGCGCGCATCAAACCCGCTATATGTCGCGTGCAACTGCACAGGTAAACACGGGCGAAAAAGTTCAGATCCACCTGATATTTTAGCATGCATTACAGCTAACAAAAAGGCTCTTTGATCGAGCCCTAACCACTGTCTGATGGTCAACATACAGTTCGCGCGGCACAAAGCTTGTTTTGTTATCAATAACTGATGTTAGTGAGTACCGTGAACCGATCAGTGATCAAGTTATATCCCAACTTCATTACAACTTTTAACTAAGGCGAGCAGGGTGAGCACCACGCGCCCACTCGATCTCGTGCCTTCGATCGAAGGCAGGCGGCAAAGCGTCTTGCTGGTGGAAGTCAAACTGTATTGATACTCTACAAATTATATTGATGTACTTCCAAAAACAGTAACACCTGGATCAGCTTAGCTGTTGCGTAGTTCCAAGACAAAACTCAAAACTCGCAATTTCTCCGTACTCAAAGCTTTGCATCAGATATACTTGTGCGGCAATTATTTGCTTGCAAATTTTTAAAAGCGCAAAGCCTCGTGCGCGGAAATTTTCGTTACGCAAAGCTATCGTATCTGCAAATTATCGCTCGCGCTATTCCTCGTATCGCATTTCGTGGCATGCACGGATGTTCGTGTCGTAAGTCCTCAAACACGCAATTATTGCATTCTTAGAGCATTTTTCAGCATATCCAATAATTTGCATTACGATTATTCAAATTTGCTTTTCCTTGCCTGAAGGCGCCCAACTGCGTGTAGGTAAGGTAGGAGGAGGTTAGCGCGTAAGCCGTGTATGGTTCTCAAACTCACGGGAGAGAGACGTGCAGAGATGCTTGTTTGGTTTGTATGCCCCAGAGAATTCATGCTTGTTGAAATGCCTTCGGTATTCAGTATACCAGCTTCTTTGTCACAAATCGGTGCTGTAGATCACTTCTGGTACGACAGTTTGCTCAGATGCATTGCCCCTCACCTGAATAGGACAGTTCCTGTCTCATGTCAACCCTCTTTATGTATTATACGAAATCTTTCGAGTTCTTGCTCTTGGATGTCCGACTTGGATTCGGCGGAGGTCGTGCCAACGCTGTGCCATGCCAAGTGGCGAGTTACGTGAGCTGGAGTGCTGTTGATGATTGATAAAAGTAGTCAAGGCACCGCACGACAATTCTATGAAACATACATGAGCGGCCATGAATATGCAATTTGATGTCCTTGAATTCGTCTCCAAAGCTATCTATGCATGAATGACTGATGTTTGGTAAAGAGGCACGCACTTAATTTCCTTATGAATGCATCAAGATCAATATGTGGCAACCAATTTTGTTTTGAGAGTGTCTAGCGCACGGACCCTGGAGAAAACAAGACGGTGGCTGAAATGTACGCGTGCAGCAACAGCTTGGAGCAAGGTTCGTACCCTCAGGTGCTGTGCAGGTGC